CCCCCGGAACAAAAAAAAAAAAAAAAAAAATCACACCTTACAGGGCCAGGAATTTATCTCTGTGGTGCCACACCTGCCTTGAAAGCGCAAGGTCCCAAGTTCGATCCCCAGTATGGGGTGGGGATGGGGGTCAAATCACACCTTACAGAAGGCCTGGTCTTTTGTCTCTAGCCACAGCTGGAACAATGCAGCTAACTCCTTTTCATTATCCTGGCACTGACCTGAAGGGAAAGGGAGACAAAAAAGCCAAAAAGATCTAAAGTGTTATTCAGAATCCCACTTTGTCCTTACCTTTTCCATATCAAAAGACCGTATCAGGCCCTGCAGCAATGATCCTTTACACATACTCTGTCCACCCACTTGCTGTCTGCCTGGATCACCACGCCTGGATGTCACCTAATTAAATCACTCCTTCAGTAAGTACGGTTACTGAGAAGCCACTGTGTGCTAAGATCATCTATGAATTCTGTCTCGGCCCTCACAGAGTGTAGAGTCAAGTGAAAAAAAAAACCCATATTAAAACCAATTCTAAAATTGGTAGGTGTCACAGAGGATGTCCTGACTGACTTACACCAGGAAAGTTATCCAGTCTTCCAGCTAGCGTGGGCCTGAAGGCACTCTGCACACTGACACAGCAGCAAGAAGGCCCCTGAACCAACTTGAGACAAAAGCCCTCCCTGCCCTCCTCTCGTTACTCTGTTCAGACCCCTACCACAGCTCTTAGCATGTACCTAAAGCTCCTGCCTAGGCTAGAAGCCAGTTGAGGACACCACCATCTACATCTACTTGTATGAGAACACAGCTGCGCTTCCAGAGAAATCCTGGAACCATACTCACCAGACACTTACCTTCACTCTCCACCAGTCAACACCTACTCACCCCAAGAACCTGTATTTCTATGCTCTCTTACCTCTTGATTGCCCTCCTCTATTCCCACTATGCCTTCTAGAAATGCCACTTCACAGGCAGTCAATTGCCCTGCAGCCAAATTATCTTCTCCTGACACTTCTCTACTTATTTGGTATGGAGTCTAGTGCTCCCACTGAGCCTGAACCCTGAGGAGGCTGACTGTTCATTTTCTCACATCCACATCCTACAGAGTCATGAGGCAGTTTCTCCTATAACTTTCAGAAACTACATTTCTCCTCAGTTCTAGAAAATCAAATAAAAACAAAAGCCTGTTCCAAAACAGCCCAGAAATAAACACACATATACAGTCCATACACTGCTTAGCAAGAGTGCCAAAAACCTAAGAGAAAAGCACAGTCTCTGCAAAAATGGCAGGAAGGCACTCTGGATATCCACATTTAAAGAATAAAATTAGGAGTCTATGTAACTATCTGAAAAAAAAAAATCACTCAAAATGAGTTAAAGGGGCTCCGGATGTAGCTCAGTGATGCTGCTCCTGCCTGGCAAGTGCAAGGTCCTGAGTTCAATTCCCAGAAACAAACAAAAAAAAAGAGTTAAAAAGATCTAAACATGAGGCCTGAAATTGTAAAACCCCAACAAGAAAACAGGGAAAGCTCCATAATACCCATCTTAGCAATGATCCTTTTGATATGACATCAAGACACAGGCAAAAGCAAAAACAAGTGTACTGAAGCAAACTAGAAAGCTTCTGCACAGAAAACAACCAAAAGAGGAAGACAACCTACAAAATGGGAGAAAATATCTGCAAACCATGTTATAAAGGGTTAATATTCAAAATACATAAGAAACAACTACAAATCTATAGCAGAAAAGCAAATAACCTGACTAAAAATAAAGGATTTGAACATCCCAACAACATACAAATGTTGTACATGAAAAAAGTGTTCCACATCACTAATCAAGAAACTACAAAATAAAAACACAATGAGTGAACACCTCACAGGTCAGGATGGCTACTATTAAAAGGCACAGACAACAAGTATTGGCGAGCATACAGAGAAACACTAGGCCCTTGTAAACTTGTTGGACACCAAGAGACTCTATGAAAAACACCACATAGACACCTCAAAAAAGTGAAAAATAGGCACAAACCTATAGCCCCAACATTCTGGGAGGCCACGACGGGAAGACTGCAAATTCAAGCCCAGCATGGTCAACTCAGCAACTTAGCGAAACCCTGGGTCAAAGTACAACATAAAAATGGGGCTGGGGATGTAGCTCAGCGTAAAGGCCCTAGATTCAATACCCAATACTGCAAAAAGTAAAAAACAGAACTATCATATGGTATAGCAATTCCACTTCTAGATATAATCCCAAGAGAAGTGAAATTAGGGCCTCAGATACTGGCACTCCAATGTTGCCAAATGTTATGGTTTGTATCTGAATGGTCCCCCAAAGCCTCATATGCTCATAGGTGGAGCTTTGGGGAGGTGATTAGATCACAGGGCTGTGATACTCATAAATGGGTTAGTCCATTGAGGAGTTTACAGCTGAGCAGAATGTTAGGAGAAGCCTGGTTGGAGAAGTGGGGGGTCACTGGGGCATAGCCTGGAAGGGTCTATCCCCTTCCCTCCTCCTTTGATCTCCCTCTGCTCCTGCTACAAATGTGCTACACATAAAATGGACTACTACTCACCTTAGAACAGGGGAAATCCTACTATCTCCAACAATATGGATGAGCCTGTTATGGCTCCCAGGACAAATACTGCGTAATCTCACATACACAGGCACCTGAAATACTCAGATTGCAAGACCATCATTCCAATAATGCACTGCTCCACAGAGTAAAACCTTTACCTTTGACCTTTGACCTTTCTACCATTCCCACCTAACAAAACTCAAAATTGAACTATCCACATTCCCCATGCTTCCAACTAAGCAGGTAAGGGATCCCTGAGGAAAAAAGCACACAAAGAGGCAGAACATCACAACAAGTCAATGACGAGAAGCTGACGCTGACAGCTGCCTGCCCATCCTAACGCTGTCCTGGTTACCCTGCTTTGCATGCTCCAGGGAGGGTCTCCCTACTCTCTTCAAATCTTCCTTCTCACCACCCCCACCTCCTACTTTATGCAGGAAAATCAGCAGACCAAATCTCCCACAGAAGACTAACAAGTCCACTGCTGTTTTTCCACTGTTTCTGTGCTACTTCTTTCATCCAGAGCCAGCCCTGGATGTGGATGTTGACGCATCTCCTCTTCTCTGCTGCATCTTCAGCAGTCCATTCTAAACACAGCCTTCTCAACAAAACTTAATCTCACCCATTTAAAAACATTCCTCTCTTGGCCACAAGTATCCTATTCTTCCCTCCTCCAGTTAACCTAGAAAGAGCTGTTTAGATTCACTAACTTTTTAACCAGTAGTGTGCTGTGCATGTTCAGGTAGCACCAGAGAAAAGGAGCCTTGACTGGCTACAGCTGCACACTTCCATGGTGTACATGAAGGGGCAGCAAATTCAGCTCCTGTCTTTGTAAGCAGTTTTATAGAACACAACTCCACCTATTCATTTTGTCTACTGCCTGGCTGCTCTGCATTATGAAGCAGAATTGAGGGCTAGTAACAGAAAAAAAATCTAATCCACATGGGCTTCAAACACTTAGTATCTGATCCTAAAAGAAACATCATACCAACCTGGTGCAAGTACTCTCATCGTGGCAGAGAGTGCACAACCAGTATGAGGAATGACCTTCAGCTCATACTGCCCTCAACCCCTGTCATCCCTAAAGGAGTCACTCTTAACTAAAAATTCACCAAGAGCCAAGTATCGTGGGGCACACTATAATCCCATCTACTCTGGGTTATGGCTCAGTAGTAAAGCACTTGGCTAGCAAGAGTGAGGCCCTGGTAACACTAACACACTAGCACAAACACACACACACACACACACACACACACATACACTCCTTATTCCATGTCAACAGATCTTATCTTTATCTTACCAAACTTTTCAGGAACAATGAAAGCCAATAACTACTACCCACATCTTCAACTCTTCAGTCTTTTGTCTCCCAGAGCCAACCATCTCAGGGCTTTCCTCCTGTCTCTGTAGTCCCTCCTCACATACACTGGCATTCTGCTGCCTCTTCCATGGAGTTTCTCAAGGCTTAGCTCTCACTCACTTTTCTCCTCGCCTGACACTTTCTCTCTAGGTGACAGCCTCATCTGTGTCCTTTCCTATATACTAATTTCAGTATAGGACCAATACTGAATTTCCATCTCACTTTAGATGCATGTTTTAACAACTAAGGGGAAACAACTGTATACCTAAAATGTACCAATAAACTCAATGAGGAAAAAAAAAACTAACACTCTAAGCAAGGCTTTATAAATTTAAAACAAAATAAGGACCCTGCCCTTTAAAAACAGTTCGGGACTTGTCATGTAGAGGTACAAGATCCCAACAATGAATGTAACTGTACTGTATCCCTAAAATGTACCAATAAACTCAATTAAAGCTGAAAAAAAAATAAAATAAAATAAAAAAATAAAAATAGTTAGGGGCTGTTCAGTCTCTCACTGCACATCACCCTCAATAGCAAGGCCCAGTTTCGGTAAAGAAAAGTAACTATATTACAAATTAGTCCAAAACCACTAGTATGAGTAATACAAATTATGATGCTATTATAAAATGCCCCACAGACTACATCATGGCAGAAAGGCAATTCCACTTCCACTTAGGGAGCTGTGTGGGGAAAGTGTGGGATGAAGATTGTACCCTAAGAATACAAAGTGTCTTGAAGATTCCCTCACACACCAAAGTGAGATCTAATATTTTCTTCCTTGCCAATCTCCTGGAAGGTACTGACTAGAAAGCAAAAGCAGCTTAGGGAAAGACTAGGTAATAATATGAATTACTTACCAAGTAATTTCCACTGTTGGGTTTTCTCCTTGAATTCAACAAATGGAGTGAAACTAGAAGGAACAGCTGCAAGAAAGAGATCACATGTACAAGCCACACAGGTCAGGAAGCGCTAAACTCTGTGTATCTTGCAGCTCTGAACTCTGAGAGACATTCTCAGTATTTCATGGTGTATCAGGAGAGAAGAGATATCAAGGGTACGGTGGGACACAAAGGTACAATGAACCAAATAAGCACAGCTGCCAATTACTGTTAAGAACCAGGCAAAAGAGGAAAGACATAATGACCTTCCAAAAAACAAATCCTTACCTCGGCTTCCTCCAGCAAGATACTGCAGGGCAGGCAACACCAACTCAGCCCAGTTGGGGGCTGCAGAAAACCAGCTGTTGAGGGAACTGGCTGGAGATGACTGCCAGTCCAGAACGCGCTCCTCCAGCTGAGGGAGAGGAAAGGTGGGACCCAGTGAGATTTCTCTCCTATAGCATACCAGGGATGTCCACAGCAAGCTGGGTACGTTTCCAGTTTGCTCCAGTCCCAAAGCAAGTTAGCTGTGGAGCCTGGACTCTACAGAGCCGCTTCTCAAGCTGGAGACCATCAAAAATTTTGATGATTTCAAACCTTCAATGTACATCTGACTCTTCAAAATTCTTACCATAGGAAGGCTAGCCTGATTCTCCAACAGCAAGATCTCTAACAGAAGAGAGAAAAAACTAGAAGATATCTCATTGATTCCCAGGCAAGGCTTGAGGTCTTCCAGGGGCCTGTGGAGAGAAGGAAACATAAGCACAATTAAGAGCAAAAACACATTCTAAGTTAACTCAGGTCCCCTGAGGCCCTGTAATCATAAGAAAGGGAACACAACACATTTTCCAGCTGGGTCCCTGGCAGCGCTGGCAAGTTCAACACACCCACAGCCACCTCACACAGCCCCAAGGGACTGAACAGCTCTCTGCTTAACCACCCACCCTCAGCAGCATGTGACCTGTGCTGCACACTTACTCTTCCTTTACAGCAGGTATTGCCAGCGGAGACGGGGCTTGTGAGAGAGATGGAACCCCTTCAGTACTGCTTAGAGGCTCAGCCAAATCCTCTACCTCTGATTTGATCAGTTTTATTTTCTTCTTCTTCCTTTCCTCTTTTTCCTTGGCCTTTTTTTTAAGGACAGCCAAGTCATACAAGGCTGGGAAGTAAAAGAACACAAGTCACAAAACTGCATTTTCTAGTCAGGAAGTAAGAAGTCTTACCTACATACTCTTTCCCAAAGCCCACCAAAGGCATAAATGTCTCATAATAAGACATACAGATTTCTTGGCTAGGGATTTAGCTCAGTGGTTCCACCACCTGCCTTGCAAGTGCAAGGACCCAAGTTCAATCCCTGGTACTAATAAATAAATACATACATACATACATACATACATACATCTAATGATGGCTATACTGACTTTTTAAATTCATAAAGGCAGTAATAAAACAAAGATGAATGGCATGACGGAGACTATGGTTTCATTTACTTTAGCCACATAGAGGCAGTCTCATAACATTTAAGAGCAAAGTGAGGGCTACTCAGAAGCAGCCAACAGTCTTGTTTTACCTGCTAGAGAGCCCTTCTTGCCAGCATTGACTCGAGTCATGATGTCACTGAGGGTCAGATCCCCTGTCAAAAGATCCGGGTGATCCTAGAGGTTACAGTTGGAGATTCGGTTACTGAGGCCAAAAGAAACAGCAAAGACTAATGAAGACTGCCAATTTACCTAACAGATATGACTCCTGCCAGGTATCCCTGAGGAAACATACTGAATTACAAAAATGCAATAATGAAGACTACTGCTCTTCCTAACAGTACACAGGAAAACCCATTTTCAACCCCCTGATGTATGGCATTTACAGTTCATACAGCTCTTCTGCATTCCTTATCTCACATTCTCTTCAGGCCAATTTTATAGCCTTTATATTATGTTATATTTTACAAAGTCTAGGGATCAAAGAAGTTAAAGGAACTGCACAATACTGTAGAGTAGAAAAGACAGAGAGAACTCAGCTCAATCCCAGTGTGGGACTCTCCCTGTCTTGCTGCTCTACCTCAGATAGGATATCCTTTCTCCTCTCTACTCTCTGGCTTGGAACCACCTCAATTCAGTTGAGGGGAATAACAGAACAAGTGCAAAGAGGGAAGAGTACAAGGTAACTCTTGGTCCCGGCATTTACTAGTCACAGAACCAAAGACAAGCTCCTTCAGTTCTCTGAGCACTGGTAACATGGAATTTATGATGCACTCATATACCAAATAGTGGCACAGCAAAGGCTGAACCAGACACTGTTGAGCAGGCCTTATAAAATGGAAGCACCCCTCAGATGCCTTCCATTCTTACGCTAACTAGCCTGTGTCACTCCTAACAACAAGGAAACACAAGTGAGGTGGGGACAACGGGTATCTCCTCCAGGACAGCCAAGCCACAGACATTCACCCCAGAAGTGGCCACTCATCCCAATCTTACTGGTTGATGTTTCCGCTTCTCATGGTGCTTCTTTAACATTATCTTCAGGTCACTGTCCCCAAGTTCTATTTTATCTGAGAGAAAAATGAACCAAACCACATAGACTAGGTGATTTACTGCAAAGATGCTCTAATTCAAATGTTTCTGGTCACTTGTGACATTCTTAGGCAAGACACTGCTGAGTTTCCCTTCTGAGTCCTGTGTACTAAAAGCACCAAAAACCTTCAGTCACACAATCCGCACTTCCATTTTTTTTATACACCAATAAATTTCTTCAGTTACTCAGATGGGCAGTAACTGAATACACAATATTAAGTTTCTTGACAATGTCCTTTCACTCCTATTCAAATACAAATTATTTTCCAATTTCACAAATATCTAAGGAATTGCTATGGCTCTGGTTATCCCTTTTGTTCTATTACTGAATTTTCTACTAGGTTGCTACTCTAAGAGTCTGCTTTCTTTAGACCAAAATACCAGATGCTTAGCTTCAAAAGACAATTTTTAAAACTAAGAGACAACCCACAGAATGGGAAAAAATTTCCAGCAACTCGTCAGACAAAGAACTAGTATCTACAATATATGAAGAACTCAAAAAAATTAGATCCCCTAAAACTTAAAGACCTAATAAAAAAATGGGCGTCCGAAATGAAGTACTAATGGCCAATAAATACATAAAAAATATTCAACATTGCTGGCCACTTGTGAAACACAAATTAAAATGACATTGGGCAAGTACAAGGTCCTGAGTTTGAATTCCAGTACTGCGGGAAAAAAAAAAAACATCGATTTTCCAGAACTTCAGCAAGAATGGCTATCTTCAAGAATCAAGTAATAGGAGGACTAAGGGAAAAGGAAAAAAATATGAGAAAATGTAAAAATGGAATTAAAGTGTTTGAAGGCGGGGAGGGGAGGGTGAAGGGAGGGTGGGGACAAGGGGAAAAAATGAGAACCAAGACCTCGCATGTAAAGGTACAAGATCCCAGTAATGAATGTAACTGTACTGTCTAACTAGAATGTACCAATAAATTAAATTCGGAAAAAAATCAAGTAATAACAATGACTGAGAGGCTGCAGGGAAAAAAAGAAGGTACAATCTGTATGAAGAGTCTGTACTGCAGGTGCAATCAATGATTCCTCAAAAAACTAAAAATCGGGCCAGGGATTTATCTTAGTGGTGCCACCACTTGCCTCACAAGCACAAGGTCCTGAGTTCAATCCTTGGTACCAAAAAACAAAAGCTGAAAATAGAAATCCCAGTGACCCAGATATTCTCTTCTAGGTATCTTCCTGAAAGAGTGACAATATCATATTACAGTACAGTGATGCCTGCATACTCATATTCACAGCAGCATGATTCATAACTGTTAAATCCTGGAAGCAGCCCATATGTCTATCAACAGATGAATGGATAAAGAAAATGTGGTAAACACAAAGGTTTACTACTCTGCTATAAAGAATAAACTTGAGTTCTTTGTAGGAAAAAGGATGTACAATGAGACCATGAATTTAAATTAAGTAAACATCAGATAGTTTATCTTACAAGAGAAATCCAATATGCAAGTACAGTGCAAAATAAAAGATAATAAGAAGTAAGGAGTCACAGCTTTCTTAAATAGGAAAAGGATGAAAAGATGAAGGGAGGGAAGGGAAGGGAAGCAAATGAAAAAAGAATTAAAATGTGTTATGTACGTGTATGTACCAGGCAATCATTATGTGCTGCAAACATGTACTAATAAAAAGTAAAAATTGGAAAAAAAAAAAGGAAAGAAGGCAGGTTTATCTGTACATATAAAAAAAAAGTGGAATGATACAAATACTTCTCCAAATCACCTAATTCTAAGGAACACTGCTTTGCTTCCTGGCCACTAAAAATCTAGTCCCTACCTACCTCCCTCTAAGGGATATTTTACTTCTATACTGCTATTCCCTGGAATGGGGGCAGCATCAGCTCAGTTCTCACCTGCAGTTTTCATATCCATGGTGCAAAGTGTGGGCACCACCCTCAGGGGCACCGCAGGACTAGGAGAACGTGCTGGAGAGCTTGGAAGCCATGAGCTGAGATCTTCAAAAGAAAATTTTTCTTGTAAATCCAACGTGGCTGTGGACTCCAATAGGGGAGATTGAGTAAGTGGCCATTTAGGTTCAACAGGGCTAAGCCAACAACATGGAGGCCAGGGTTCCACAATCCTTTCTGACCCTTCCCCAGATGAGCTGGAGCACACTTAGGTCATTTAAACGGCTTTTCCAGGAGGAGAGACTTCAACAGAGTGATGGGGTCGCATTGCAGCAGGCCAACAGTCACTACTACTCTCCTGTAAGGGGAAAAGCAGTTCTCTCAAGTGGCACAATGGGACCAGAGGCCTACTGTGGAGAGACCCTGCCCCACAGGGATTTGTCCAACAGATGCTCATCTGACTCAAGTGCCCCAAGAGCACAGGGATCAGGAGGACATGGAGTCAGTACCACTTAACAGCAATGTCTCAGGTAGGGACTTAAAGACCAAGGACTTAACAAGTCTCACTCTCCACCCCCAGACAAGACAACTTAGATGCTTCTTGGGGGACAAGTGGCTACCTCTGGCTCCAACAACCCAGCTGACCCACAGGGCCAAGGACACTCACCCTCTTCATCAGAGGATAGAGCTGTGTCACCACACTCCTCCTTCACTTCCCTCAAGACCTTCAAGTAGCGCTGCTGGGTCCGCCACTCCCGCTCCTCAGGGCTGCGGGATGGTGAAGGGCGCTTCTGCCAGAAAGGAACAGCTGGGCCACTCCTGCGGGCCATGTCCAGCAGATCCTAGAAAGGTCAGATGAGGGTGTATGTCATCACTGATGCTTGCTCTGGATTGATGTACACTCTGTGAGTCCGCAATTTATTCTCTCAATATCAAACAAACTCAACTCCCTCTCCTCCAGATCACAAAGGAGCAGATAAACAACTATGTGTAAATAAAAAGAATCTATACTAATTACAGATTAAGCATACTTATCTAAAAATCTGAAATCTGAAATGCTCTGAAATACAGAACTTTATGAGTACAGTAAGTCCCCAACTTACAAATGAGTTCCACTCTGGGAGAATATTCATAAGTCTGATTCATTCGTAAGTCTAAGTGAGTCTTATACACTTTTGACACATAAAAAATCAGACATACAAAAATACTCTATTTTTACTTTCACAGTTACCTTTAAGTGGTGGTAAAGTACTACAATGTCTCAATCATTTTCACTTTTGTTTCCACAGTTACTACTTTGTGCTTCCTAGCAGTCCCTTCCACATCATCACTACTGTTTTTCTTGCTTTTGGACATCCTGGGCTCTGACTGAGCACTGTACTACTGTATACTATTACACTGTACACAGCATGCACACAGCAGCACATCTGTAACAATATCCAGTGGACACATGACCTACTTCTGTGATGTGTTAGCATGTATGAATGTTTATAATGTGAAATCTATTTGTACCTATAAAAGTACACAACTCGAATGTTTTTAAGTCAAGGACTTACTGTACCAACATAAAACCAAAGTAGAAAATGTCATACCTGAACTCATTTTAACAACTTGAAGTCAAAAAATAAACTTATTAAAAAGTGTGTGAAACCTGACTTTAGGCTATGTGTATAAGATGCAAGTGAAATATATTTTGTGTTTACACCTAGATCCCATCCCCAAGATATCTTACTACGTACACACAAAATTCCAAAATCTGAAAAAAAAAAAAAACTGAAATCTGAAACACTTTTGGCTCCAAGCATTTCAGATAAGGAATATTCAACCCGCATTACATGGTGAAAATCCACTATCTCTTTTTGCTCCAAAAAGAATGCATACTATACTAGACAACCAAGTAATGTATTTCTCTACTGAAGCTTTAAGAACACAGAATGCTTTGCCTCTAAGAATTATCAAGCTGGGAGAAACCCACAAGCCACTTAGCTTTATGTTCTACATATCCATCACAGCATGCAGAGGCCTATGCACACCTGCACATCAATTTCACAGCATCCTAGCTTTGCTCAATGAGTTGTAATAGATTTCAAATCCATATTATCTTGTTAAGTTTGTAGGGGTAAGTTTTTTGGTGTTTGTTTGCTTGCTGTGGTGCTGGGGACAGAAATTCAAGCCTTGTATATGCTAGGTTTTTAGGAAGCACTTGCTTTTCATGTTTTAACACTTTTGAAATCAGAATGAAATCAACACAAGACATTGTCTCTTAATTGAACTCGGGACCCTGTGCTTTCAAGGCAAGCAGCAGCAACATTGAGCTAAATCCCCAGCCCCTCTACCTCTTGAAGTCATGATATCCCAAGTTTACTGTCCACATTTTTACCCAGTCCCAGCATTACTTACACTCCGGGAAGCAAGAATATGTTTTAGCAGCCGATGGAAATACTGCTGCTGCGAGTTGAGGTATCGCTTGTACTGTGACTTGAAGCACAGCTGCCGATACTTGACCACCTCAGGGTTAAAATATCCATCTTAAAAAAAAATAGAGGTACAGCTACATATATATCTGTCAACATATATTCAATATTTAAGATGTTGCTGTAGCACAGAACTAAATAGAAAAGCAAATATAAGAATTAGGAAAGAGAACAAAAAGTAAAAGAATGCTTACTAACTGTAATAACCATGGTAAAACTAGAACTGAAATACAGCACTAATCAGAGTGAAATATACAGAAATTTCTGCCCTGACATTCCTTCTCCATGTTCTCACCAGGCTACCATATTGTTTAGGGAGAAAGCATGCTACCCTAACATGATCCTTCTAAATCCAATGAGATTTCCCTCCCTCTGCTTCACAGGAGTGGAGACACGGTACTCCCAGCTGAGGCCCCAGCTTAGGTAAAATAGATCTCTGCCAACCACAAAGAAGAATTCCTCTTAAATAATCCATTAAAAGAGAAAATGCATTCCAGTATTCCCAGCTATTTGTGAGGCTGAAGCAAGAGGATGACCTGAGCCCAGGGGTATCAGGGCCAGCCTAGGAAACACAAGGATACCCTGCCTCTTAAAATTTCTCTTTAACCACAACACAACAACAGAAAAACAGGGGTAAGGTACGGCTCAATGGTACAGTACTTGCCAAGCATGCAAGAGGACCTGGGTCCAATCCCCAGAACCACAAAGGAGGGGTGAGTGCTAACTTTAAATCCGTAAAATGAGAAATTTGAAATAATAATCTTGCTTGCTTCAGTCTCAAGCAACTATCACGTTACGTTGTTCAGTTTAACACCAAGTCAAGATGTTCTAGCTTTCCAGGGCATCATGCCAAAATGTCACCCAGAAAGGCAAAGATAAGAGGCTATGCTCCTCTCCATAGGTCAGAGGGCAGACTGTGAGTTAAGAATAGTATCAAATCACTCTGCAATGCCTAAAGTAATAGTTCATTCAAGCAAGAACCACCATCAGAAGCAATAACTAACGGGTAAGACAGGGCTTTAAAGAAACAAAACTAGTACATGATCCCAAAGTATCTATCCAGATTGCTTTAGAATAATAAAGGAATACAGGCATCTTTGCAATCAGAGTTGTGGCCAAAACACTTAACCAAGTGGTCACACATGGCATCACCAACAGTGGAAAAGTGACACCATGTGCCTCCTGAGGTGACATACTGGGAAGGCTGCTTCCCAGGCAGCATCCTCACCAAGAGCACTGGATACAATCTAACCATGGAGCAGTAAGAAGACAAATTCCCAGAAAACAGGACATTTCAAAGTTCAAGTGTTATGGGCTCTGCAAAAGTGTCTAGAATGAGAGCAAAAAAGGGCAGGGATCCTTAATTCACTGAGCTAAAGTGAATAAGACCCAAACAATGCATAAATTCTTAACAGATACTGGATTTCAATCGCAACTTAACAAAGAACTTTTCAGGAACAATTACAAAAATTCAACAGGGAATATACTATGATATTATGTGTTCAGTGCTATATTTCTTGGGCAGGATAAAAGGAGTATATTTATGTGGGAAAATCCTTTGGTAAGAGATACACATGCTCAAAGGCTTGGTGATAAAATACCATCTTTTCTGTTGAGGAATAAAAGAAAAGAAAATGGCAAGCTGTTTTTTAAAAATTTTAGACTACTCATTGAGCACTTGTGAGATGCTGGAACTGTTTCACTTCTTGTTCTGGGTGGTGGTTATACAGATGAGAATATACTAGGTACTTTCTATTTACATCAATAAAACTGTACTTTAAAACAGCATAGGTAGCAAAGAATTATTCAAAAGTACTTCAGGTTGGCTTATCTTTCTGTACAAGAGAATGATTAAAATAAAACAAAGAAAGGCACATCCACATCCCCGCCCTCCACCCTATTAAAAATAGAAGGCTGAGCTACAGACCTCGGAAGAGCTTCTGGGCAATGTACAGAGGGTTTCCAAAGCGGAAGTTCTCTCCGCTGAACAAGGCTAAAATGAGCTCATTCTGCTGTTCCATGCTGTCTGTGGGAAAGTGAGGCAGAAACTGCTGTAGGTGCTTACGCTGAGAGTCACTTAGTACTTCCTGCCATGTTGAGAGGCTGACAACATCAAAGAATATCTCAGGCTGAGAGAATTTGGGGAAAAAGCAAATAATAGAAAAATAAGTTTTGGGTTTTGTTTTGTTTTGTAGGTGTGTACACAGAAAGATATATATAACAGAAAGGTTACCTCTTACTTTTCCAAGACTATAGTACAATGGCTTTCAGGACATTCACATTCACATATACTTGAAACAGACTAAAATTTACAGTGATCTTTACTTAATTCGCAAATTTAAAGATTAAAGATGACGTGTAAACTACAATCTTGTATCTAATAGTAAATAATTATCTAGAGGAAAATTATCTCAGCAGAAAACCCCATGTGGAAAACATCTGTCAACAAGAATATGATGATAAATATCTAAAGCCACCTTAAACTGAGGAGCAAGAAAGGATGAACATGGGGAAAGAACTTGAACTGAAGTCACCTGCAAAGAGTGAGGGCAACAAGATGGAGTCACTGTTATACCCTGGCTACATATGTGCCAAGCACTCTAAGCTAGAGAGGCACACAGACTGAAAGGAGGGGCAAGGGGAACAAGCAAGCAATTTTCATGTAAGAAATGAGAATGTGTACAGCATCCGGGAAGGCCCATCAGAGGTGGACATTTAAGATAAGTCAAAGAGATAAGGAAAGGGAAAAAAGATGCTGGGGAAAGGGTTAGAAATTCAGAGCAAAACTGTGAAAACAAAGGAAAGGATAGCAGGGACATGTGGAGGAAATGGAGAGAGAGAAGATAACAAAAGGATACACAAGGGTTTAAATGGTAATGGTGTTATCTTAGGCAGGGGCTACACGCATGCTTCTTCCCTTCTTTGAGGTTCTTTTGTGTGTGTGCATTTCTGCGGCTGAGTGTGCTTTGCAGTTTTTGTTGGTGGTGGGTTTTTTTTGAGATGAGTACCTCAATATATTGCCCAGGTTGGTCTTGAACCTGTGAGCTCCCATCTCAGCCTCCTAAGTAGCTAAAAATATAGGCATAAACTACAATGTTTGGCTTGCATGCATTTTTTTTTTTTTTTTTTTTTTTTTTTTTTTTTTTT